AAAAAAAAAAAAAAAAAAAAAAAAAAAAAAAAAAAAAACCACGCCCGGGGGGGGGGGGGGGGGGGTACGTAGGTGACTCAGTCCTCCACGCATTCCGCAGTAACCGCTCCAAAGGAGAGCGGTTGGGGAAAAAACAGCAGGCTCCCCGGAAGGGAAGAGAATCTCCTCTGAAGGGATAGGAATGCGTTCCCACGTCTACCATGAGGACACAGGAGTTACCTTCACTGGGGTACACTATCTCCCAAGGCTGGGTGAACATGCCCCTGAGGTCCCTGAGGAACGCCTCGCCATGTCGCTCCCTCCTGACTGGCGGCATCTTCTCTGCTCTCTCAGCAGGTGCGGGAGCTCTCCGGGAGAAGGCAGGGCGGCGTTGGGGGAGGGTGGGGGGGGTCACCAAGCGTGGGTGTTAAGCCATGCATCAAGTGCGGCAAATGGATGGCAGATGATCAAATGGATGAGGCAGGCAACCGCCTGATTGTTTTCCTTTTGTTTTGTTTACAAAAACAGATCCATAAAGATGTAACCCTCTACAGCTCCTACAACATCTGAGATCATTTAGGGGAAGTGTGAGGAGAGGCCACATCAGCCTATAATTGGCCTGAACGAAAATAAAAGACTTTGCATGCTCTGAAAGGACTGGTCAACTGATCCTGAACTAGACACACCGGAATCCACAGCATACTAAGTTACAGGATTAAGTGTCCATCGAGGGCGACGGAGCCAGCAGCTGACGCAGTCAGAGGCATAAAGGTGAGATGCATGTGAATGTCCGCAGAAACGTCAAGGCAAGCGAAAATCGCACCCGTGCAACTGCAGCCGGCCGACAGGCAGCACACGAGCATTACGGCATCTGGGACGCCTTCAGCCATTACTAATGGAACAAAAGGTGCCCCTTTAATAGGCTGATTGGTCGAGATATGGTGCATTTTGATATCAAGTGGAGAGTGACAAGAACGATGTAGGTGGCAGAGAGTAGGGATGATGCGAATGAAGTGTGATGACACTTCACACACTAGGCCATATGCACACAAACATAAACAGCTTTAGTCAACTGCTGCTGCCCCAGAGAGAATCTGCTGCGGGATCATACTTCATGGCATGTACCTGAAGTGCCCCCTGCCCTAATATAACAGAGGAAGTACCTCTCTAAGGGAACCTGAACTGTTTGGTGCACTTTGTAAATATACCTAATTCAGTGATGCTGAAGGGCTTCTGAAATGCTCCAGGCCCCCTAAAGTCCTCAGTACCTTTCTTAGGTGCTGTGCGTGACGAGGGGCTGAAGAACTTCTTCACTGTAGTGACTTTTCGCGTCTTCTCATTGGTCTTCTTCTCCTCGAATTTGGAGAAGGGTGCCAAGGACGGCTGGGGGTGAGACTGCGCCCCCTGGCTGCTGGCGTAGGCAGCTTCCTCCTCCCTCTGCAACCTGGACCGCACAGAGGAGGGCAGGAGCAGAAGAATAGGAAATGGACATTGATGACCTTGCATGTATGCTATATTTATTTACTTATTCTATTAAAAATATCTATCTGGATCTTTTTAAATGCACTGCATGGGTGATCCTCCCCTATGCATTTTACTGATTGGCCAAATAAATACAGAACAATTCCTGCTAAGCTAAGAATTCTATGTAGCGAACAAAGCAACCATGTATAATGCAAAATGTTCATTCAAAATGTTCAACACATTGCCAATGGCTGTTTTTTTTTAGATTAAGAAGCACATCTTATATGCTGCTATGAAGTATTATCTATCAACCAGGGGCTGCAGCCTTCAATTGTTTATAGTTTTTTGCAATAGGAGAAGTTATGCACCTCTAACCATAACTGTTCAACTGTTTTTGTGGGGTAAACAATTAGCGCTTGCACTACTTTCTAAAGTTAGACCTTGTCAGCTCAGTGTAGGTCTTTTGTTGTTTTACGTGAACTGCTTTAGCAATTAATGAATACTTCCTGTAAATTAATGAATACTTCCTGTAAATTAATGAACAATTCCTGTAAATTTCTCTAGCTGTGCAATTTTGGTTGTGGTCAAGGACAGTACTATGGCTTTAACGCCATAGAAACTGGGCCACTGCAGCATACATTTCAACAAAAGAAAAGGAAGCAGGCCAGCAAAGAGCCTCAGGCCCCACATTTGACTTTGGTGGGCTAGGCTTGGCCCTGAAACGCAGATAAACAGCCACCACTGATGACATCACCACTGATGACATCACCACTGATGACATCACCACTGATGACAGTGACAGTATTAGGAAACAGAGCACCATATTTGCTGGTTTACCACAATGTTAAGTCAAAGTAACCTACAGAAGTGCAGAAAGCTTCAAAGCTCACAACCGACTAATTTTAAAGCAGTGCAAGTTCCCAAATTAATTTTGTGCAAACCACAATATGCAAATGTGATGATGAAACAGTGGATGCAAACATTTAAACCAGCAAGCAACATTGACCACGGTCAAAAGGAAAGCTAACACATGAGTGAGGCTGGTTGCTGAGACAAAGACCCATGGCTTACCCAAGCCAAGACTTTTAATATTAGAGATGTAGTATGCACTTACACTAATTATATATTGTGTGTCACAAATATTTATATATGATTTTGTATGATCGGAATCAGTTTCTGTGTTTTTGGCTTACAAGTAGTCAGAGTTTCTGTGATCCTTCCTCAAACTCCAAAAACATTCTCTTTTAATTATTCACGGCCAACTTGCAAAAAACCAAAAGCGTGAATGTCAAATTTGCAAATGTGAAGGGGTTATCGTATTGTATAATTCACAGAAAACAAAGCCCCATTCATTTCTGAGCAAAACAGCCTGTGTGACATTTCCAGGAACAAAAGTTACCGAAAAATAGATACAAAGATAAAAAAGGATAAAAACAGATTAACAGAATATTCTATTAGTTGAAGTAATAAAGAGAAAGTCCAGGATTACTTCTCTGCCAATGCCCAGTCCTCTTGGATCTGCTTCTGCCGGGCACGCTGGTACTCTTCCCTCCAGCACTTGGAGCAGAGGCCTTGCCAGGATGTATTGCCATAGTAACCACATCCTTTCTTGCACAGCAGCTCTGACTGGTCCACGTGGATCCCTCTACGCTCAGACTTTTGGCTCATCTCTCTGCTGACAGGACCAGAGTATGTAACAGGTGGAAAAACAGTATTTTTAAAATTTTTAAATGCACTTATACTGTACATAACCACACACAGAGATCTCATATCAAGTGTGGCTAGTTATATCTGGAAAGGGCCATTGGGTATGCAGGTTTTCACTCTAACTGCATAATTAGATTACTAATTAGAGAACTGATTGGCTGAAGGGTCCTCACAACTGGGTTTGAACACCTGACCCAAAGGTTATCCCAAATACCTGCATACACACCGGCCCTTCGAAAATAAGATTGGCCGCCCCTGTCCTATATCAAATCTAACATCTTTTTCAACATTTTTAGGAAATTCTGGTGTCCCATGCAATTCAGAACTAGGAATGGTAGCTCATCAAAAGAGAAAAACTTAAAACATTTTTAAAGATGTTTAATACTTATGCTCTACAGAGACTGGCACTGTTAACGTGGAACATTAAAGATAACTACAGATAACCCTCTGTATGTCTGTGTGTAAACCTTGCATTATACTTTACCACACCCTCTGCTTGTGGAAGTAGCTTCAGTAACTGTAAACAAGGTCATAGTATAATATTGCATATCACAACTTCATGCCCTAACTTAGCATTTTCTTGCTGTTAGCTCAAAAAAGCCAAATGCACAGCATACGGTACAAGTGCTTATATGCAGATATACAATAGTACCAGTGTTGCAGAATCTATGGCTCAGTTGTCTTCTGCTTTTAGCTAGACCCCATAAACTGCTCACAATGCATGCATCTCCTTCAGCAACAACTGCAAAAATGTGCACCGTCTAAGAATCCCTGAGCACTGGGTTGAGAAACACTGCTTAAAATCACTGGCCACAAGGTGATTGAATTTGATTATGATTACTGAGGGAATGATCTGATGCATTGTGAATCTTCAATTTTTACAATTACTCGATTAATCGATTATTTTTTCTAACATAAATTCAAACATATTTTAAATTTGCTGAAAAAAAAAATCATAAATATTACCCGGGAATCTTAACACAATATTAATGGAATACAAAGAAAGTAGAATCTAGGAACATTGATTTTTATTATTATTATAAAATAGGGAGAAGTGAGAACATTTAAATATTGGCCAGCAATATAAGCCGAGAGTGACACACTGGGCCGATGCTGATATCTTGATCTTTAACAAATGTGAGCCGATACCAATATTATATAGCCAATATATCGTGCATCACTAAGGCTAATATTAGCTTTTTACTTGGCTCACTAGTCATCTGCTTCAGAGTCTTGACCACTGAGATTTTCCCAAAAGCATCATAGCGTAAAGATAATCAGATAGCGCATCCAGTGAGAATAATAATGAACTTCTCCCCTGCCATCCTATATTTGGGAAATTCTACATGCAGCATGTGAACAAGGGAGCGCGCAACTCGGAAATAATGGTATCTTCATCATGAAGGATTTCGGACGTTGATCGATGCATTGAATAGCCACCTTAATCGATGGATCTTTACACAGAAGAGCACAGCTGATAATACAGTACAAACCTAATTTTTCCAAATTATGTACCTCAAAAATTGGTGTGAATATGTTGGATTCACTAAACTTCTGTTTTAAGCACAAGGAACTGCCCTTTGTGAATAAATATAAATACCTTATACATACAATTGAGAAAGCGGGGTCAGTCAATCCCTGGAGCACCTGGGCTTTGCTCAAGGATCCCACACTGAAATCTCTCTGCGAGCAGCAACCTTATAATCACATGGACAGAGTCCACACCTGCAGGGCAAATACTGGTGCTAACAGATTTAGACAACTTTCTTAGACATACTGGGGGTTGTGAATTTTCCGTTTTAACACACTAGTGTTCTTTTTTTTTGCTACACCATAAAAGGAGGAAGTAACTACTTGAGACAACCACTGAAGATTCAAAATGTTCGAAAAATATTCTCAAACATCACACACACAGCTAAGTTCTGAAAGGCTTTTGATTTTTATATAAATATAAATAAAAACACACACAGGAGATCAAAATTAGAGAACAATTTATGAACACTTGATTTTTTTCACTAATAATGTCATATTCATTACTCAACATTTGAAGGAATTACTGTTGTGGACATACCACGCTACTAGAACAGTGTAGAGAACAGAACAGCAATGACTGGAGCATGAAGAAAGATCACAACTAAATTTTCTGTCTTCAGTTTCAAGGAACTGCTTTAGCTGGTTTGCTGTGTGACAGGGGACATTATCCTGCATAAAAATTTCTGGCTGATTGGGCGATGAACACAGGGAAGGAACCACATGTTGTCGAAGAAGGTTCTGATAAACATTTGCATTCACTCTGCAATGTAGCTGTATAAGAGGCCCAACTCCTGCTGCAGAAAACATTCCCCAAACCATGACACTTCCTCCTCCACCTTTCACTGACTTCTTAACACAGTTGGGATTCAGTCTTTCCCCCAGTTTGACGACAAACATGATGATTCCCATCAGACCCAACTGAATTAAACTTGCTTTCATCACTAAAGTGAACTTTGGACCAGTTCTCCTCTGTCCACACAACATGCTCCTCCACAAAGGCTAGTCTAGCCTTCTGATTCTTTCTGCTTATGAGAGGTTTAGTCACTGCAGAGTAGGCTGTCAGTCCAAATGCTCTTAAACATCAAGACACTGTGTGAGACAGGTCCTTACCCCATTCAGCACTGTATTGACGAGCAATTCCAGCTGCAGTGTTGAAATGATTCCCCATTGACATTCTCCGCATTATCATGTCTTTCGTGGATGACCAGCCTTCTTGGGGGACTTGAATGAGTTTGTGACATTGTAAAGGTGCAATATTCTAAAAATCACAGATTTGGAATGACCAGCTTCTCTTGCTATGGCTGATAGGGTCACATCCCTTTGGCCTTCATCTGCACAACCTGCTGTCGCAGGGTTTCAGTCACTTTAGAACGGCCCAACATCTTGCAAAGTCATTGATAACTGCAACGTAAGGCTACAGGTTAAACAGGGTTTGTCAGATAATTAAGGAAATTAGCACCAGCTGCCAGATTAACTCCAATAACTGGGAGGTATCTGAACATGTTCTCTAATTATGATCAGTGTTCTTTTTCAAATATCTCATTTAAGTTCCTTATACTGTGCTTCTGAATTTATGTAACTCATGACATATGGTTAAAAAAACGCTCTTTTACTCCTGTTTGGATAACTTCCAAGTAGGACTACATCAGGGTTTATCAAATCACGGTCCTCGAGGTCTGAGCACTGCTGGTTTTCCAGCCTTCCTTTACCTGTCGGTCAGGTGTGAAGCCTCTGACCAATCAGAATCAGTAATTATTAAAAACTAACTACCTGGGAGAACTGAAAACAAGGCCTGAATTTGGAATCGAGGTCCAGATTTGAAGAACCCTGGACTACGTAGTGACCTTGACATTTAGGAAATTGTAGGTTGTTCTCTAATTTTGATCTCCAGTGTGTGTGTGTGTGTGTGTGTGTATCATTTTTGTACAACAGTTCTTTGGCTAATCTACCTAAAACTGCAATGTGTTTCATACGAGTGGCTGAATGGCTGCTACATGCTACTTTTTACTCGTTGTTCCTGGTTATTCTTAGAAATACAGGCAGAAAACCCACCACCTTTTTGGGCCTCCCCTGCATACTGACACCTAGCATCCAAGAGGGATGCAACAGAGCTACGGAAGCTTCAAAGGTTACAACTGAAGGTTTAATATTATTGACCAAAGACTCATTGGAAACTGTAGGCCACCATAGGATTTAAATACTATGTCCGGTCTGGTACCACATAAACCCATTTATAACAATGGCATTAATGACTTATCGCAGCGAATCGTGTGCCTCAGATAACCAACATCTGACCACTTAAAGTAACCAGAACTGAGCCACTTCAGGATTAGAAATACTGTACCTACCATTGCATTTCAGGAGCTGGAACAGATCAGTGTGTGACCGCACTTGAGAATATATGATTGTCTTGGTTACAGGATCCCTTTTGTTATGGAGGCCGGGTTGACTTACGACTTGCAGTGCAGGAAACATTAATATTTCAGCACGCTGAATCTGCCATTTTGGTTCAGAGGACGCTGCAAAAGGCTGCAGTCTGCATCATTTGTCTTTGCAACCTCTAAAGAGGTTATTCCTGCTCCTCAGTGTTTACTGTACCATTTATAATGTTTGTTCAATGACTAAAGGGACAGGCCTGAAGACTACAATGCATAACAGAAAAGGAGTTAAGAAAGGGTCACCTGATGGAAATGTTGCCTACGTTTCGTTCCTCTTCCAACCCTCAAGGAAAGATACAGTGCTTTCATCAGACCATAAAACATACACCTAAATAAGATTAATGTAATTTTAACAAGACAGATTTTAACAAGACCCTTAGGTTACTTTATCATTAGTCTCTGTTATTAGTCACTACCCCCATCCAGCCACCTACATTACAAGAATGTTTGCAGTGCAGAAGCAGCTAAATCAGTGGAATTTTCCCTTTTTAAAAATGACCCAGCCAGGACTCCTGTGTTGCCTATTCATGTTCCTACTAGTCAATGCATTTTACAGCCTCCAGGCATCTAGAATACCATTTGTAATGAATAACAAAAAAAAAATTATTTGTAATTTAAAAAGTAATAATTATTAGTTGTAGAATATTTTTATAACACTAATCTTCTGCATAAAACGTATATGAAAATAAATTTTACTAGGAGTAGCAGCAGTCCATGGGGGTATCAGTCTTTCTGGTATGGTTTATAAATAGCATTGAACGCCACAGAGTAAATAAGTAAATGGACCTGCATGACATGGACACTACAGAGCAAGGCAGAGAACAATGAGATGACCTCCAAACTAGACAAGACAGACCTAGGGCCTCCAGATAAAGACCAATGTCTGACCCCTGACAGATACTGGGTCGGATTTGACTGTGATCCTTCAGAAATTTATAATGTTTGTTCAATACAAGGATTAACAACATACAGTAAGCACATTTTTACTGGCACTGTTACCTGCAATGTACCTGTCATTGCAAAGAGAAAAAGAAAACTAATTCTTCCCCCAGCGCATATTTTACTTCACATAAGCTACACTCCAAGTAAACATCAATATCACACATAGTTCTAAAGCAAAAAGGCACACAGGGGTCACTGCATAAAACTGAACTTCCATACAGACAGTGACCTTGGTAAAGAAAGAAGTGTAGTTCCTCATAGTGAAGGTTTGGCACAACCACCCATACAAGCATATCTGAAGGTCAACTGTGCGACTTTCGTTAAGAAAAAGAAATGGGGTGTGGCACAACACTTGTAGTCCCATCAGAAAGAAATGGAAGCTAAATGGAAAGAAACATTATTAAAACTCCAACAAGATATTTTAATAAAAACAACAAGCAAAAAATCAAACCTTTAGCTGACAAAGACTAAGTTAGGGACAGATGATAGCACTTGTGTCAGCTGTACTTCATTTTTAAAAAGTAAAAATAAAGAAAACCCCAGCAGCCCTCAAAAAACCACTGACATCAGAAACTAATTTTGCTGAGCTGAATGAGCCAAGTTCCCCTTGAAAGTCACATTTTCTTCTCTAGTTCAAGATTAAGCAGTTTGATCACTATTTACTTTAGAACATGCATACATTTCATAACACTATTTAAAAATGCTTTGTTAGTTCTTCCTCCTTTACTAAAAACAACTCATTTTGTTATTTAATTTTGCTACAGGGACATAACGCTTAAAGAAATGTAAATACCACGCATGAAACGTAATTTGATATTTGACCCGAAGGATGTTTTCAAAGGAGGATCAGTTATGTATGATGACATATGTAAATGGCCACAAAACTGCTGCAAATATTAATCACCTTAAGAAACCTTTATCACACAAATTTCTGAAGGATCACTTATTTAAACCCCCTCTGTCACTACTCAGCCATCTTCTAAGAGTTTATTCTGGTGAAGTTCATTGGGGGGGCGGCGGGCTGGAGCACACAAAACAAAGGCCGCTAGGACAGGAAACCGGACAGACGAAACCCATATGACACGGGTAGAATAGGCATACTGTACCCACAGTGGGGAGGCGGGACTCGAACCCACATCCCTGGAGATGTGCTCCAGTGCTACCTCCATGCTGACCTACCTCATACGATCAGTTACATTAAGCAGCTAAAAAGCAAACTACCTACCTCAATAGCCAGCTTAAGCTGTATTCACTCTGCAGCCGTTTCGACTACAAGTCTGTAGTCTGCACAGTTAGTTTAAAGCTTATTACTGCGCTGAAGTATAGCGAATGTCCAAAAACAAGTGGATAAAAATCAAAAAGTGAGAAACGTTAAATTTAGTATGATGTCACTTGTCTTTTTTTCGGATACGCACTCTTTCATCAAACTTAAGTGAAGCATTATTGAAAAACGACGAAACGCTTTCACCTCGTCAGCCGGCGGGCTGCAGTTCTATCTCCGGGTAACCTTGTCAGTTATAATGCCGCTTCAGCTGCTCGTATTTACAAGCTTCAAAACACGCAGGCCCGGAACATCTTTTTGTTTCCACACAAGTTCATACTTAGTATAGCTGGCAAGTTGCAGAACAACAGAAAAATGCATGCATTCGCAGATACAGCTAACCCAAGAGACCCGACTATTTACAGAGCACAGCCACTGCTTTTTTTCATTCGCACTGCTAAGCTAACAGGCTAACTAACAGCTATAGCGAAATTCAACCTCCTGTTATCCACAAGCTCGCTACTCCAGCTCCCTCGGCTGCCTGCCCCCTTACCGTGTGATGTGCGGTGGAGGCTGTGACCTTCAGCAGCTGGGAACCTCTTGGCTTGTGGTTTACTTTCACCAGGAACCCCTTCCTCAGCCCTCGCACTCCGCCGCCTTCGCTCTCCTCCCGTTATTTTGTTCTGCGGCTGTCGGCGTCAAAACCGCGCGTGGTCACGTGGTCGCGCTGGACCCCGCGGGCGACTGACTGACATCAACGCATAGTCGCGCGACCCTGCAAATTCCTCTTCACTCAACAACAACAACAACAACAACAATAATAATAATAATAATAATAATATAATTTTGTTATGAAAAAATTATTGTTAATTACTGGCACAATCCCCTTTAAAATCCCGATTGGCACTTTTAAGTAATATGTTAAAATTCCCCAATATATATTTAATTATTACATATGTATGAATAATTTAATGGTCTCCAAAATGTATGCGTTCTAGACATTTTTCGAACTTTTTGGACGGTTGTTTTTAGTTTGTATATAATTCATAGGCTAAAATACATAAAATGCGACACCATTTTAATAAACAACCGGTGAAACTGCAGAGGCTGGTGCCATCGAGTATTAAATTACTTGAATTATACGCTTTAATTCCGTGGTCAATACTGGATTCGGAAAGATGATACTCAGTCTAGAAATTTCAAACAATAAAAAAAAATCCCTCTCAGTGTCCCACGTAATTATAAAATAGGTCCTTACTGAGCATTTCTGATTTCCCCCCTAAGGACTTCATACTGTTTGGATTTGGATATCATTGAGATGCTAACCCTGAGAAGGATCATTCCGGAGTGTGGAGTCTAAGGCAGCACAGAGATAAACCTTGGTTGGGATGCCAGTCTGATGAGGGGCACAAACTCTCACACATCATCTTAAATCATGGGCAATTCAAAAGTGCCAACTATGTTGTCTAAATGTTTTTGAGGTGGAAGAAGAGAGCAGGGGCGCCCAACTCGAGTCCCGGAGGGCCGGAGCCCTGCACATTTTTGAGTTTCCCCTCATTTAACACACCTGATTCAACACCTTGTGCTAATTACCACACAGCTCTTGAGCTGAATCATTTATGGTGGAACAGGGAAAGAACTAAGCTACACAGGGCTCCGGCCCCCCAAGACTGGAGTTGGGCACCCCTGACCTAAGGGAATACACCGCCCACAGCCAGGTGAGATTCAAACCCTCAATCGTGGAGGAGTGGAGCTACCTACAGGGTACCCATGCTCCGAACATACAATGAGAAAAACAAATAGTTTAAAATAAAAAAAACAGCAGATTTTTTTTTCACACACAAAATGAGGACTCTGTAGACACAGTGATGACTTCAAGCACAATTATATTGCACCTTATTTAAAAAATAACTGCAAAACACACACACACACACACACTTGACTGTTAGCACAGAGCAGCAATATATGCAGTGACCATTTTTGAAGCAAACCAGTAATTTTTATAAATTACCATTAATGGGCACCCCTAAAGCTGCATACATTAATCTGTAGGTTGACTGTCTCAACTAATCTTATTTAATCATAGGTTAGCTACAGCTGTGCAGAACACACACATGTAATATGACCTGAACAATACATGTACTGTACCACATATTTAGTATACAGTCTGCAAACAAGTTTATGAGGCACTCAGAGAAATTGTTCTTCTTACAACATTGCAATTGAGGAGAAGATTATGTCATGAACAGACACTGACCTGCTGATCTCCCATCTATGGAAACTAACAGGCAGTAAAACAAGATTTTTGGTGACAGCTGAGAGGTGAGCAGGTCAGGTAACAACATTAGGTCATTACTCACAAGTTACAAGTGCCCAGTTACTAAGGTACACATATAACTGACAAATACAATGGGTTCAATAAAGCTTTCCCACTCAAAATTACCGTTCAGTATTTTGTTAGTTGGAACAGTCTAGCCCAGTGTATCCCAACCCAGTCCCTGGGGACCCCCACATTTTTGCTTCCTCACAGCTCCCTACCAGACAGTCCAAATTTCTGTTCCCTCTCAGTCCCAGCAAAAACTTGGACTGTCTGGGGGTTCCTGAGGACCGCTTTGAGAAACATAGGTCAAGCTCTGGAAAACAATTGTAATCTGTTACATTTTACTGTGTAAATAATTACAATAGAAAAAAACACTGTCAAAAACCTCAGACAACACATCACCCGGAAACCTGGGAGAAAATATCATATTAACAAGGTTCTTTTCATAATCATGTCATTTTTTTAACAATGATGTACAAATTATGAAAATATATATATTTAATAGTGTCAACTCTCCTCAAAAACCTTCTCAATAGCAATCCTCCTTGAACATTTGCTTAAGTGTTGAATTGAATTTGCACATGAGCCCAATTTCCCTGATTATGAAACTGATAAAAATCCAGGGTCTAAGTTTTCTTATCTGTTATTGATTGGTAAAGTTTGGTATCTAAGGCAACAGAAATTGTTAAGCAATATAACCCTGGCTGCTGGATAGAAGATTGAGGGTAATTCTTCCTCTCTACCAATAGTGGTAACTGCATGAAATTCCTGGTATAACAACATATTAAAGCACTTGCCTTATTTCATACGTTTTAGCCACCAAACTTCCTGCTAAGCTAATTACCAGGCTTTTCAAAAAAGATGCATAGATTGCTTCGGCCGGAAACAGATAAGGTTGTTTTGTGTGCACACAATAACCAGAACATTATTGTTAACAGATTACCAGTAACTTGTGAATATTTACAGCATGTCTAGCATTTCCATGTATTCGCCCTTTAGAGGTTCAAAACATCTAAGTAGTTTAAAATTCACGTCCCAACAAGTTGTGCCAATAATATGTCTATTTTGAAGCAGACAAATGTGATATTTACTCACAAGATATTACGGACCCAGTCCAGCCAAAATTATGTTTTTTTCTTAATTTATATGTTTTTGCACAACACTAGACAAATAACTCCGCAAGTTCATTAGATGTGAAAAATGCTAGTTCATTCAAATGCTATGAAAACATGGACCCTTCTGTTTTCTAGGCTGTTCTGCAGGTCCTATCTTACCATTAGAACACATTCTTTGTTTTCACTGACCAGTGACGACTTGTGTTCCCGTACTGTTAATGAATTCATCTGTGCTGCATTCATGAATGCACTGTCATACCCTGAAATACCGAGGAGATAAGAACATACAGAGGAACTTAAGCTTACAGAAAAGTAGTTTTTAATTGTTCATTTACGGGTTTGACTTTAAAAATAACACGCAACACGGAGCTGGTGAGTTGTTACCTAGAGATGATGTAAAACTGTTAAAGTGACTAAGTATTTGGTGTTAAAACGACTAATTTACTCAACATACCAGACCGTTAGGTGCATACGAGTGCCCCTTTGATCTAACTGATTTCCTGCAGCTCATTTCCTTTGATCATGGTGACAGTGGAGAGCAGATCGGTGATAGAGACAAGGATCACTTTTTTAGCCATCGCGCTCTGATCAGTGTCACATACCCAGTGATCACCATAAATACCTAAAAGCGGGTGTAAAAATGTACTAGGAACACTCAAAATAAATTAGTAGGTAAGTGAGAAGCATCTTTTATTGCCAGCAAATCTTTTCCAGTGCCATTTATGGTCTGTCATTTGCCAGCCCAGTACCAAAACCTTTGTTTCCCATGGAATAAAATATCAGCTTCAGTGCCTTAACTTCTCAAGCACAGCCGAGAATTAAAAAAAAAAGTAAAACCTTGATAAAATAAAGTGACAAATGTGCGTACGCACGTGCCCATGAGATATTTGACCAGGTAGCTTAATTTCCTCCAGCTGTAATACAAAACCACAACAGAGCAAATGACCCTTCAACACAAAACCCAGAAACAAAACATGACCAGGACTGCCACCAGGAAGGCAACAAATACACAAAAATAGTTGTTTCATTTCCTAAAAATGAGCTTATGCTAGGGGCACAAGACTTCCAAGTTTAAAAAAAATGACAAGAGTGAGCAAAATAAAATAAAACAGCTGTAACTGTCAACCTTAAAAATACATGACACTGTTTATAAAAGCCGTAAAGGACAGTCGCCATATTTAACAGGTCTGTGGTTGACGACAAACGGTATGGCTACAGCGTGGTCGACACGTGTACAGAATTAGCTCAGGAATTAGGGTGCTACGGAAGAAGTGCCTGAAATCCTGACTGAATAATGCTGCCAGCAGCCATATGGGGGCTGGAATCTGTTCCGCATTTTATGAAGAAGTCATGGGCAGGACGTCCTTTACCACCATGTTATCTTGAACTCGTAGATGGGCCTTTTGCAATAGTAGTGGTTGATGAGGTGCTTATCGCACACCCCGATGCACTGCTGGTCCGCGGTTATGCCACGCTCGGCTAGGTCGCTCACGATGCAGTGAAGCAGGTCATACACGTCCGCCACCGCCTCCCACGGCCCGAAAGACACGTCTACCTCGCAGTGGTGCTCGAAGATCTTGGCCTCGCTCTCCGAGCGCTCGAAGCGCAGCGAGTTGAAGAGCGGCCTCTCGTACGGGGTGACGGGCATCTCCTCTTTGTAGACGCAGATCTTCAGCTTGGCGAAGCGTGCCTTCTTCTGCATGGCCCGCACCTTGGCGATCTCCACAATCTGCTCCAGGTTCTCTGCAGACGGGATACAGACGGGCTGAGGCTCAGTGAAACCAGGGCTCCTCGTGTCATCATACTTTAAAGACTCTGTGGAATACAATCTATTCGCAAGAATCAGGGCAAAAAGGTGCTGCGATCAAGGCAACAAAACCTACAGGGAGACTCTGACAAATGTAGACAACTAGGTTCAGAACACCTCACCTTTGTAGTACGGAAGTAGGTCAAGGAAAGCTTGTCGGACTTTCTCTCCTGTGAGAGGCTGAGTGTCCTCCAAACTGTCCAGCAAGGGTCCAATGGCATAGTACTGCGCCTCCTTGTGGACAGCCCGCACACGGTCACGCTGCGGAAGCTCCCCCTCTCGAAGGAAGTTCAAGATATCCCTACAGACAGCCCCAAACATGGTCATTTGCAAAATCCCCCCAAAACACAACATTGTAGAAAGGATATTCGCAGTAGCTCTTTAAAATTATGATCAGCAAAATAAGAGTGAAACAAGTTTATGAATTGGCCCCAAACAACCTCCAATCACTTTTTAAAGTTAACCTTTTTTTTT